CCCGGCCCCGTGGCGGTCGCCCCCGGCCCAGCTTGCCCTTCCCGCGGGCCGAGGGGGCCATGTCGGGAGAGGCGGTGACGGCGGCCAGCGAGCCGCGGCGGAGGGACCCCGCCGGCGTGGGACCTGCCTCCACCAAGCTCCAGGGGCCAGGGTCTTCCTCGGAGGAAGAGGAGGAAGGCTACGGCCACAACCGCGCCGGCGGGGAGGAAGAGGAGGAAGATGAGATGGTGAAGGCTCCCGAGCGGGTGACCGACCTGGAGATTGGCATGTACGTCCTGCTGGGCGTCTTCTGCCTGGCCATCTTCATCTTCCTCGTCAACTGCATCTTCTTCGTTTTGCGGTACCAGCAGAAGGAGCTGCCGGATGCCGGCGCGGCCCCCTCAGCCCCCCAGCCCCACAACTGGGTCTGGCTGGGCACTGACCAAGAGGAGCTGAGCCGGCAGCTGGACCGCCGGCAGCCCGAGCCCCCGGCCCCCGAAACGGCCACCGAAACCGGGCGCTGCTGCTGCGGGGTGCCCCCGGGCACCGTGCCGGGCGCCGAAGCTGGGGGTCCCCCCGGCACCCCGACGCCCGCGGCTCCCCTGCCCCGCAAGGAAGGGGGTACGCCGGGGGGCGGCCGGAGGAAGCGGGTGGAATTTGTCACCTTCGCCCCTCCCCGGGTCCCCGAGGAGCCCCCCCAGCCCGCTCCCAACGTCCAGTCCATCCTGGTGGCCAGCGAGGATGACATCCGCTGGGTGTGCGAGGACATGGGGCTGCGGGACCCCGAGGAGCTCAGGAGCTACATGGAGAGGATCCGGGGTAGCTCCTGATCCCGGGGGGAGCGGCCCCCAGCACCCCCGCTCAGCCCCGGGCAAACCAGTAAGGGACCGACCTCCTCCCTGTGCTGCCCTGGGGAGGGGGGGACACACGTTCCCCCCCCCTTTCCCCTGCCTGCAGCGGGCTGTGCTGCTCTTGGGGACCGCTGTCCATCCCTCCTGGTGGCCTGAGCCCTGCCCCAGCTGGGCCACCCAAGGGACCTGCCCCAGATGCCCGCAGAGGTGGGGGGGGGGTCTCCATCCAGCTCAGAGCGTCCCCTTCCTTGGGGTCCACGTCAGACCCCCCCCCCCGCCGCCCCGGGGGCATTGGGGAGGAAGCCGGGGTTGCCCTTACTGCTTTGGGTCTCATTGCGACATTGTGTTCATAGTGATGATGATGATGATGATGATGAGTCCTGTGGTCTGATCCTGGGGAAGGGTCCCGTGCCCCCCGCCCCACCCACGCCGCGGGGAGGAGGGGGGCGCGCGCCCTCGCCCCCTTCACCCCGGCCACGCATCCGTTTTGTACGACTGGCATTTTCTACCTGTAACGCCCTGGGAAGGGGCTGCCGCGAGGGGCTGTTATTTATGGAAGATTTTTAATTCTGATGTTGTTACAAAAATAAAATATTTAAAAAAGACAGGCAGCCCCCGTGCCGTGGCATCTGCTCCCACCAGCGGGTCGCATCCTGCCACCGTCCCAGGGCAGGGGCAGTAGGGATGGGGGAAGATGGACGTGCGGTGTTGGGGGACAACACCATGGCGTTGCCGGCAGGGACCGGCTCTGCCAGGCACGGCCGAGCCCGCTGGGCTCCTGGGGACGGGCACGTGCCCTTGACGTTGGTTCCATGTGGGGACAAACATGGGAGCTGGTCACGGGAAGGGCTCGGGGGCCAGTCCTGGCCCTGGCCCAGCCAGGGTGACCTTGGGGCAAGGGACCTCCTTCCTCCATGTCCTGCTGTGGGGAAAGGGCTGCTGCCTTCCTCTTCCTCCGCCCATCCAGCCCCAACACCCAGAACCAGGGAGCAGCCTGTCCCTGCCTGGTCCTGGATATCCCCCCGACCCCATGGCTGGTCCCGGGTCCCCCCCAAGCCCCAGCAAAGCATCTCTCCTGCAATAGCAGCCACAGGCAATGGGCCAGCAGGTCACTATTCAGGGATGCCGTGAGGATTTCCACCCCTCCAGTCCCTTCCTAGCCCCCCAGTCTGTCCTGGTGATCCCTGAGACACCCCTAGATCGCCCTGGGTGACAGCAGGAGACACCCCCCTCGTCACCCTGCTCCCGACAGGCTCCCCATGCTGGGCTGGCACCCACCCAACCTTCCCCTTCCCTCTGCCCCCCATCGGGGCTCGAGCCATCCCCATAGCTCCCCCAAAACCCACAGAGATGGGGTGATCGCTCTGGCTGCCGGGGTCCTATCCCCACCCCTGCCCTGCTGGTACTGGGACCAGCATCCCTGGCCCCAGGGAAGGGGGGTGATGCTCCATCACCCCCCCGTGGCACCATACGAGTCGTCCTCCGGCCCCGTGCAGAGGTGGGGGGCACCCATCCGCAGCGGCTGGCTCTGGTAGCGCCTGGAGATCCAGGTGAAAAGCAGGCAGGCGACCGACTGAATCCCCGCCAGCAGGAAGAAGTAGTTGTCCATGCGGCAGCTGTTGATGCTCCCTGGGAGCAGGAGGGTGGTCAGAGCTGGGGGGGCTGACCCTCAGGACACCCCCATGCCCCACACCCCATCCCTGCTGGCCATAAAGGCACCCCGAGCAGGAGGTGACACCTGTGTCAGGGCTCACCGCTGTCCTCCGGGCAGTGCGTCCACCCGTGGGTGGGCAGTGAGAGGAGGGTCAGCAGCCCCGACCCCAGCAGCGAGCCCACCCCGGAGATGAAGAAGAAGAGACCCATGATGGCTCCTTTCATGGACTTGGGGGCCTCAGCGTAGGCAAACTCCAGGCCTGCGGGAAAGCAGAGAGAGCACGGGGAAAGGCTCGAACCCTTCGGGGTTCCTCCACCAAACCCAACTGCTGTGGCGGGGGGCTGCGGTGGATACCCCCGGAACTGGGGGAGGCAGGCACCGCTCACCAGGGATGCTGGCAAAGAGCTCGCCGACGCCGATGAGCAGGTACTGGGGGACCTGCCACCAGATGGGCAGCGTGGCGGCCAGGTAGCGGTCCTTGCCGACGAGCTGCAGCACCGTCTGGTTGTGGCGCACGTACTGCAGCTGCTCTCGCTCCAGGATGCCTGTGGGATGCGGGCAGCGGGGGGCTGAGCGCCCACTGAGCCCCTGCCTGCAGCAGCATCCCACCCCAGCCCGGGTCCTACTTGCTGTGAGGATGGAGGCAAGGCCGAAGAACATGCCCAGGGCCATCTGCTTGAGAGCCGACGGCAGCAGCCTCCGCTTGGCTAGGAAGGGGTCGATGACGTGGTCCTTCAGGGGCACCAAGACCAGCAAGACCACCACATTGGCCAGGAGCAGCCAAGCATCTGGGAACTGGCGGGCAAAGGCAGGTCAAGCCCCAGCTCTCGCCCGCAGCGGGGAGCTCAGCATTTCATGGAACGCCCTGGCTCCCACCCCGGCTCCCACCCATCGGGTCCACAGAGCTGCCGGCTCCATCTCTCACCGTATAGCCCTGGAGGGTGCTGGCACGGTCCTGGCTGTGTCGGAAGATGCTGGGGATGTGCAGGTGCAAACCCTGCAGGTAATATGTCGACTGCATCTGAAAGGCAGCGGGATGGTGGCTCCATGGGCTCCGGTCCCGGACGGACCCACCACCACCGACGGTCCCTGCTCAGCGCAGAGCCCACCCCACACCTCACCTGGAAGTAGACCATCCAGTAAGGGATGAAGGTCAGCATCACGGGCAGGATCCGGACCAGCACCCGGAAGTTGGCAAGGTCTTCCTCAGGCGACGGGGCTCCAGGTTGGGCTCTGCTGTTGGGGAGAGGGTCCCCAGCCTCCCATCGGCGAGTGCTCAGCCTGGGGAGAGTGACCACATGGGAGAGGCCAGGGCTGGGAGGGCTCAGCCCCCTGCAGACCCCCCCAACCCTTCTCACCTGGCCCCCGTGCCCCCCAGCCGGGTGCAGCCGCAAATCTGCAGGGCCAGCTTGATCATGGCAGAGACCTGGCTGCCTGTGGGGGGCTTGGTGACGAAGGTAGGGGTGGCCAGGAGGAAGATGAGGAAGGCCAAGGCAAGACAGGCGACGGGGATGAGGTAGCCGGCCAGAAAGCTGATGTTCTGCTGAACAAAGGCCACCACCAGAAGGGAGAAGACGGCCCCGATGTTGATGCTCCAGTAGAACCAGTTGAAGAAGCGTCGCGTGGCGTCACCACCCTGGTCCCTCACCTGCCAGCATGGAGGGACGGGCCCCGGGGCCGGCTCTCAGGCCCAGCGGCACCGAACCTCAGCCCTGAGCGCAGGGCTTCTGCTTCAACCCCTGTCCCCCCACCCTCCTACATCCCCCCATGCCCCATCCCACCACCCTCCCGCACCCCATCCCACCCCTCACCTGGCTTCCCTCCCTTCTTCCCCCACCAAGGATGTCCCAAGGGTCTCAAAGGGTTTGGAGGGTATCTACGGGGTGCAACCACATCTCCTCCACCCCTTGGGACACTCTACCCCCCTTGGCTCGGCAGAAGGGGAAGGGAGACCCACAGGTCCATGGCAGGACGGTGTGGGGGCAGGACCCAGCCGGGAGGAGCCGTTTGGGAAGGGGCAGAGGGACAAGGATGCCACCGCCTGCCACACTCACCTGGTCAGCACCGAAGGGGGTAAGGTTGGCTCTGACAGAGCTGATGCCCAGTGCCAAGAGCAGGAGGCCGCTGTAGATGGTGGGGGCACAATACTGCTCGGGGGGCTGCCCCCGGCACGTCCCACCATGGTGCCAAGAGCAGTTTCGGATGGTGGCGGCGGGCAGCTGCCCGCACGCCGAAAGGCGCCCGTCCAGCGACGTGGTGACGGGCAGCAGGCAGGTGGCTAGCAGGTACAGCAAGAAGCTGAGGACCACGGTGCCGTAGCGGCTGAGGTAGACGTCGGCCAGCCAGCCGCCGACGGGCGAGAGCAGGTAGGATGCCCCCAGAAGGAACAGGCAGGCGCGGGATGCCTGGGTGCCCCCCCAGCCAAAGGTGCCGCTGGTGAGGTAGAGCACCAGGTTGGCCGTGATGCCAAAAAAAGCCGCCCGCTCCAGACCTTCCACCACCAGCACGGCTGCGCACGCCGCCCCGTGCCTCTTGAGGGGTGTCCCCCCCAGCAAGGGGGTCCGCTCCCCACCGTCCTCCCTCATCCCAGCCATGTCCTCCTGCCCAGGAGCACCGCGGCTCTCGGCGTTGGCTCTGCTGCCCTTCACCACCCCCAGTGGGCAGCCCAGCTGGGGGACCCCGTCCCGCCACGGCCCCTTCTCCGTCCCCCTTGGCCCCCCTCCAGGCTGCCCCCCTCGCCGGGTGGATGTCCTCCGCTCCTGTCCCTCCCCGGTTCCCAGTTCCCCATTCCTGTTGAACAGACACATCATATGACGGCTCAGAAGCGAAAATCCCCGTCAGCCAGCGCGGCTTCTCCTTCCTGGGGGCTTTCCCTGTGCCCCCCCCTCCATCGGAGGCTTTGCTCACCCTCCCCAGCCATCCCCCACCAGCACAGCTCTGCGGGGTCCTCAGCACCGAAGCCCCTCGCTGAGGCTGGGGTCTTCCCCAGCTATGGGGGTGTCGGAGCCCCGCGTGTGCCAGGGGATGTCGTGTGCCCACCAGCACCCACCGGAGCCTCCCAGGGCCAGCATAAAGCTGGGCTGAGCTGAGCTCAGGGCTACTGCACCGGCTCCCCCCACGGCATGCACACGCGCAACCAAAATCCCCGACCCACGAGTGCACAGCGGTTTATTTTGCAGCCTCATTTCCTAAGGAAATGGGGCTGCGTGTGCCTGTTTGCCTCTCGCACTCTGATATTTTCCACCGGACTCGGCAGCGAGTCAGACAGCGCAAAGCTTTTAAGTTTCCGTAAGTTTAAAAAAAATAAATTAAAAAAATTAGTACCTGAGAAAGGCAGGAAGCTCAGGGCAGAGAGCCAACGGGCATGTACCCTCCCAGCCCTCCGCACCCCCAAACTCCCACCCTGACCATGCGAGTTTCCAGGTCCTCACAGCATCCTCCAGCTCCTTCGTGTTCTTGCACCCCCTCCTGCCCAAACAAGCCCCTCCGGGCTTTCTGGGGCAGGGGAAGAGCCCCCCAGCCCGCAGCCATAGCTCCTAGCATCCCCCCAGCCATCAGGCAGCCCCACCTGGCAGAGGGACCAGCTCTCTGGGACATGGTGATTTTGATGAGCTCTGTGATGACCAGCAGGTGGGCAAGGGAATTTGAATCCGTTTTTTCAGCTGGCAGCGGGTTGGGGGACACCCCCCAGCCCAGCCCAGCTTGTTCGTAACATCCACCTACCTGCCAGCGACCTCCCTCCTGCCAGGGCTCGGCAGGCAGAGAGGCAGGGGAGCGGGGTGGCACGTCTTTGGGGTCACCGTGGGTTGTCCCCTGCGGGTCTCTCGCGCCACGGGGTGAAGCAGGGTGTGAAGGACCCCCCTGCCAGACAGCACCGAAAGATGCTGGCCATGGCCTCACAAGCATCCTGCCCACCTCAGCCCCAGAAAATGGGGGAGAAGGAGGGAGCCCCATGCTCTGCTCCATCACCCCATGGAGGTCCCAGAGCTCGGGGGACCCCAAGTCCCACCGTTTCACCGGTGATGCCGTCCCAAGCCCATGACACAGCAGCACACCAGGAGCTGCAAATCGTGGCTCTTTTGCAAGATCCACATCCCCCCCGGGGGCTGAACGTGACCTGGGGTGAGACCGCTGAGTCTCTGTGGCTCCCGTAACCCTGAGGGATGCCGCAGGCACGTGGCGTGGTCCCCAAGCAAAGCCCACCTGTGCCTGAACCCCCGCCCCCCGCTTTCCCCCCCTCCCTGCCCCACCGCAAGCGTGCAGGATGGAGCCACCTCATCGCGCTCCTCCGCCCCACGGCGCTGAGCTGGTTTCCTGCAGCCCTCGACCACAAGCCGGGAGCGGAGAGCGTGCGAGCGGCAAGCAGGGCGCGGGGCCGTATCTAAACCATGCCCCCGAGCTGCTGAGCAGGACGGGACCACCAAACCCCCGGCTCCCCAACCGTCGTGGGGCTGCCCCACAACCGCTGAGCAGGATGGAGGGGGTCTGCCTGCTCCTGGTGGCTCTCTCCGCCGCGGCACCCGGACAAGGTACGGCAACGTCATCACCCTCTCCCTTCCCATCCCTCTCTGTGTGCCGGGACCCCGGGGCGATGGCTCCGCTGATTTCGGAGCTGGGTACCTGCCACCTCCCCGGTCTGGGTCCTGCTGGGGCAGGAGGTGTCGGTGCCCGCACACGGATGTTACCGGTGGTGGTTCAGCGCCGAGCAAGGATGCTCTGCAGAGTTGTGCTCTTCTCCTTCCTGAGGTGCTCAGCGTGGCTGCTCCAACCCCTGCCCCTTCTCGACGTGCCCCTTGCTGTCCGGTGGGAGGGAGAGAAGGGGGTCCCTCCTTGGGGGCTGGTGACTCTGGGGACCCTAAAAGGGGTCTCAGGGCCGTGTTGCCCACTGGCTCCCACCCCTGGTCCTGGGAGGACAGGGTGATGCTCTCCTGGTTTTGGCAGTCATGGGCCAAAACCCATCCTGTCTGGTCACGTCACCAGCATCACCCCAGGATGGTTTTTGGGGGACGATGCCATCTGCTCCCCCTGGCCCGGCAGGGTTTACGGTGGTTTTACACCCGAAATGGCTGCTAAGAAGCAGCCTCGACACCTCCGATCAATCGGGGAATGGTCGCCATTGCCCTCGTTTCCGCTAACGGCTCCTTCCCACACCTCTGCCGACACGCTGCTGGCTGCCTGCGCCCTGCCTGCAGGCTCGAGGCACGGTGCTGCCTGACACCAGGACCCCGTGGAGCAGCTCTTCCCTGCCGCATCCCTGGCTCCTGCGCTCATCCCTTACCTTTTCCTTTAATATTTTTTTAACACCAAGACAGAGCCCACCAGCTAAGGTGGTGGTTTCCCATTGAGCCCACCGTGTCCCCGGGACACCCACCCGACACACCCCAACCAGCCCCCCAGATCACTATAGATGCCTCTCGCAGCAATGGATGAGCAAAGGTGGGAGCGGGCTCTGTCAGCACAGCGCGCTGACGTAGCGGTTGCAAAAAGTGCCCTTTTTTGGTCAGAAATCATTACTGCAATAATTGCGTTATCGCGCCCCGTGCAGTCAGGGTATGGAGAAAGCCGCGATTTTGGTGACGATGGCTGCAAACACACCTCGCCTCACCCATGGGGAAAAATCCTTCGCCCTGGAGGAGCCGAATGGTGAATATTTTCCAGCAATAACTGTGGGAGCCCAGCAAGCAGCTTGGCTACAGCGGGCTGCTCATATGCATTGAGGCAAAGGGACAGGAATGAGGGAACAGGGAGGATGGGATTGAGCCCTGTGTCCAAAATGATGCCATGCCCTCGGGGTGCTCAGGGAAAGGGAAAAGCCTAAAATGAGACCACGGTGGCAGAAGCATCCACTCACCTGTGGCACCGACTCGGGGGGGCCGTGCTGGGGGTGCAGGCAGGCAGGTACAGGCAGTGGGCAGACCCTCTCTGTCGGCAGGGGCGGTGAGCCGGGAGCCAGCAGCATCGCCCGCAGCCCGAGCGCGTGATGGCATCCCCGGCTTCGGCTTTCCCACCGGTGAGTTATGTCCCAATATTGCTGTATTTAGGGCCAGATTCTGCCTGCCCCTGTCCTGTGGGCAGACCCTGTGCCAGGATTTGGCCCTAGAGCACGTTCCCCCCGCAGCGGGCTGATGTGAGGACATGGGGAGCAACTTTTAGGGGTGCAAGAGAGCCATGGCCAGGGCTCGAGGGGTCTTCCCGTGGTGCCACCCATTCTGTGGCAGCCCAGGGATGCCATTTTGGCCATCTTTCCCTGGAGGAGCATTACTTTTCGGAGGACTGGGGCACACATTCCTGCACCCTCTCCGTCTGCCCCCCACCCTCCCCACGGCTGTGTGCTGGGGTGGTGGCAGAGCCACGTCCCTCCGGTTTGCCATCTGTGAGCCGCCAAGCACCCAGCAGCCAGCACGGGGGCCGAACCGTCTGCTCCTCACCACGTCCCCACGCCTTGCCAGGAGAGCCGGGGCTGAGCCAAAAAAGGGAGGGTTGGCCCCCCGATACCCACTGACCTCAATCCTGCTTTCGCCGTGGTGGCTGCCAGCTCTCAGCAGGGCTCTGGGTGTACGTCTGTCCGGTGGCACATCCGTCCATCCCGCAGCCGTCAGCCCCGTCCTCCCACCGTGCCACCTCCTGGCCTGCTCAGAGTGGCCGTTCAGCCCCAAACGGGGGATCCTGGTGGGCTCAGCCCCTCACACCCTCTGCCCCTTCCTCCCCACAGCCCCCGCCGAGCCAACGGGACCTCCCAGCACCCCGGCAGGCAGCGTGGCTGGAAACGCCTCGGTGGCACCAGGTGAGCGCAGAAGGGCCAGGGACTTCCTTGCACCCGTATTTCGGTGGGGAGAGGGGAGCCTGGGGGCAGCGGCATCCCATCCCGCTGCTGGAGCCGGCATCGGGGACAGTGCCAGGGTCATCCGTACCCCCTTCCCCGGCATCTCACCCAGGTCCCGGCATGCTGCGGCTGGCCGGCGGCCGGAGCCGGTGCGAAGGTCGGGTGGAGATGGAGCAGGCGGGTGCCTGGGGCACGGTGTGCGACGATGCCTGGGACCTGGCCGATGCCGACATCGTGTGCCGGCAACTGCGGTGCGGCTGGGCCGTGCGCGTCCACGGCAGCGCTGCCTTCGGCCGGGGCAGCGGACCCATCCTCCGGGATGAGGTGGGCTGCGAGGGGCACGAGGAACATCTCTGGGACTGCCCGGCTGCGCCAGAGCACGACTGCAGCCACAAGGAAGACGCCGGCGTGGTGTGCTCAGGTGGGTCCGGCACGTGCCGGGTCTGGCAGATATCAAGCAAGGTTTGGGCTCCGTTGGGCAGAGGTATCAGGCAGGGTGCAGGCAGCACATCCCCAGCTCCGTCTTCTGCCCGCAGAGCACCAGGAGTGGCGGCTCTCCGGGGGCCGGGATGGTTGCGCCGGCCGGGTCGAAGTCTTCTTTCGCGGCACGTGGAGCACGGTGTGCGACAGCACATGGTACAAGCTGGAGGCGAGCGTGCTGTGCCGCACGCTGGGCTGCGGGGAGCCCCTCCGGCAACTCTCCTTCGGCCACACGCTGCCCGGCAAGATGCTTTACCAGTGCGAGAGCCAGCAGCCGTCACTGGCCCACTGCCAGTGGACCTACAACAAATCGGCTCCCTGCCACCAGTCCCGGGCGGTCGGCGTGGTCTGCAACGGTACGGGATCCCTCCTGCCTGGCTCCGCGGGTGCGGGGGGCTGACCGCCTTTTTGCGGCCATGGTGGGGGGGTCCCCCTGCCGGAGAGCTGCAACCCGGCTTCTTCTTGCCCCCCATCCCTGTCGCCCTCCTGCCAGGCTCCCAGGGCTTGCAGACGCCAACCCCGATGGCCACAGTGACACCGAGCAACATCACGCTCCTAGGCGGTGAGTGTCCTGCAGAGCCCCAGCCATGACCCGGGCCTGGGGGGGCTGCAGGGAGCACCCAACTTGCCCCCTTACCTGAAAGGAGGATGTCTTGGGTGTCATGAGCTGTGTCCGTTCTCTGTCTCAGCTGAGGAGGGTTCCCCGGCCGTGGGGGCACAGTCCTCTCTGCACATGCTCCTCTTTGTCCTCTGCCTGGTCCTGGCAGCACTGCTCCTGCTCACCGTGCTGACCTTCACCGCCGCCCTGCTGAGGGTGAGAAAGATGAGCGGTAAGGAGCGCCTGTGGGGGCACGGCAGGCTCTGGCCATGCAGGGGGTGACACTGCCAGCCCAGCCAGGGCCATCCCACTCCCTGGGCTCGGCTCAGCCACGGGAGCGGGGGCCGGCTGAGCCATGGAGCGGCTGATCCGTGGAGCAGCTGAGCGGGCGCAACCCCCCTTGTTCCTGCAGCCCACGCCGTGTCCTCCCTCGGGCTAGCCGGGCCGGTGCTGGTGACCCACAGTGCCCAGAGCCCCAACATGTCCTCTGGGATCTCCAACGACTACAGGGAGATGCCCCCCAACCTTCCCAAAGGACCAGGTAGGTCTGGCAGGTCACCGGCCCCCCCGAGGGCTGTGGGGCAGGAGGTCCCGGCTGGTGACGGCCGCCCCATTCCCATCTCACCCCCCAGACCCGCTGGTCACAGCCCTTCCCACTGCCAAGGACTCCGACTCCAACTCTGACTACGAACACTACGACTTCAGCAGCAAGCCGCCCATGGCACTCTCCACCTTCTACAGTGAGTATCCCACCCAGCCCCGGGACCCCCGCCGCCCTGCCCTGGGGTCCCCCCGCTGATGCCCCCTCCTTGCCCTCCCCGCAGACTCGCTGCGCCGGCAGCCCGGGGAACAGATGCTCTTGCTGATGCCCAGCCAGGACGGGACGGAGCCGTTGCCTGCAGAGGGTACGACACGAGGGGTGCCCGTCCCTCCGTCCTGCGGCAATGGCCGTCTGCCCGTCCTGCCCGTGGGTGGGCGAGTGGCCACCCCGCAGCCTGGGGCTGACAGGAGTCCTGTGCCCCGCAGTGCCGGCCAGGCTAGACCCCCCATCCCGCGGCAGGGTGAGCAGCTCCTCCACCTGCTCTTCCTCCTCCACCGAGCCCTATTGCAATGACGGCGCACCCCCGCCACACGCCTGGGTCTGCCTGACACCCCCCACTGGTAGCACCCACCAGCACACAGCACCTACCGCCCATGGCTACACCGGCTACCCCGGCACAGGTGGGTACCGCTGGCAGGCTGTGTGGTCCCAGGGACTGGAGTAGGGATGGGGACAGCCCTGGGGATGGGAGCGGGGATGGAGAGACCCCAAGGACAGGAGCAAGGGATGGAGAGACCCCAGGGATGGGAACAGGGATGGAGAGACCCTAAGGATGGGAGCAGGGATGGGAGCAGAGATGGGGATGGGAGCAGGGATGAACAGACGCCAAAGGCAGGAGCAGGAATGGGGACAGCCCTGGGGACAGGAGCAGGGATGGAGAGACTCCAAGGGTGGGAGCAGGGATGGGAACAGCCCTGGGGAGGGAAATGGAGGTGGGGCGACCCTGGGAATAGAAGCAGAGATTGGGAAAATCCCAGGGAGGCAATGGGACTGAGGGACCTCAGGGGGTGGGAGCAGGGATGGAAGGTGCCAGTAAGAGACGCTCTTTCCCCCAGCTCCCCCAGCAATGCCCCGTGTGCCCACCCCAGTGATCTCCCACCCGCGGGTACCTGTGTGTCCAGCAGACCCCGATCCCGCAGACAGCTCCAGCACCTCCTCGGGGGAGTGGTACGAGAACGTGCAGGGCACGGAGCCGCCCGTGGACCCGTCCCCACACCCCGGTGAGGACCCCACGCTGGCAGAGCAGGAATGGGGTGGCATGGGGGGGGTTACAGGGCTCCTCTGCCCTTGCAGCAGCCTCCTCCCGCTCCCTGCCTGATGGGGTCTCTCCCTTGCAGGCTGGCCGGCTCCGTCCTGCCCCTCGGGGGGACACGCGCAGGACCCTGACTCCTCTGAGGGCAGCGACTACGATGACATCCAGGGCTCTGCCTACTGAGCCTGCCCGACCGCCGCAGACAGAGGGGCATGGCGAGGGGGACCTGGCACTGTGTGCAGCCAAGGATCCGCCATCCTGCTGTTGATGTCTCCTCTGGACTTCTCCGGCTGTTTCCTCCATGCCACCAGTCCCGGTGGCACCCTGGGGTTGTTCGGCGCAGGCGAGCCATGCCGGGCTGCGTGATGCAATTAAAAGCTTTTCTCAGCAGGACACCGTGTCCCTCAGCCATAGGGGTGGCTGGTCACCAGCCCCGCAGCGAGGCTCGGTCACCAAATGCTCCCAAGGGCTCCCAGTTGCCCACAGGGCGGCAAGGGATAAGTGACCCAAAGATGTCCCTTCCTGCAGTCCCCTGCCAGGCTGATCACAGCCACCGTGAGCAGCATCGCCTGCACCAGCCATGGGTCCTGGCTGTATGGTGGTGCTGGGGGGGGTCCCAGACCCTTCTCACCCCAGCCTGGGGCTGATACCGAGCTGGGAAGTGGGACATAGCCAGCTTCCAGTCCAGGGTGGATATTTGTCCCCCTTGCCCAGAGCTCAGAGGGTAGGGTATGGCCCCCGATGGAGGAATAACCCCCTCCAGCATCTTCTGTGCCAGGGTGAAAGCTGGGACATCCCACAGTCCACCCGAGCCCCGGCGGGATGCCCGAGCGAAGCAGCATCACCCTGTGCCAGGCGCAGCTTGGGGACAGGGACACTGGTGGGCTTGGGGGCTGCACCCAGCTGAGCCAGGCACAGCACCCAGCCATGACCCACGGGGTTGGGACCCTTTCCATCCCCCTGCCCCGGGGGGGGCTTCCCTGTGCCCCATATGGCTCTTTCCACCAGCAAGCCAAATCCCGCAGAGCATCTCCCACCCCAGCACCCATCGGCGGGTTTCCATCTCCCAGGGCACAATGAGGTGGAGCCTCGGCAGAGGTTGGGGTTCAGACCCGCCCCCGTGGAAAATTTGCCCCCCGCCACATCCTTCAGCTGTTTACCAAGGCGAGAGGCTCCGGCGGCCCTGAACAAAGGGGCCACGCCGCAACAACGGAGGAAGCACCAAAATAGCAACAAAGCCCCAGACAAAGGGTAGAGGAGCGAGGCGAGAGCAAGGAGACGGCTGCTGCGAGCGCAGAGGGGACAGGAGCGGGCACGGGGGTGGGCACAGGGGGTGCCCCCCGTCACACGTGTGGCTCCCTGTGCCAGGGCAGCGAGGCTGGGGAGGAGATGATGGCACCTTTGCAAAGGGCGGCTGTTGGGACCGCTTGGACTGTGGCATGGCCGGGCAGTGACCTGGGGGATGTTGATGCCCAGGGGGTACCCATGCCCAGTAGGTACCGATGCCCCAGGGCAGATAACCCAGTTCCCACTGGGGCATGGGGCAAAGGGCCCATGTGTCATCTCCAGCCACAAGACAGGTACATCAGCGTCAACTGTTTATTTGAGCTGCTGCTCCTGCACGCAGTGACAGGCGCTAGGAAATGCCATTTCCACCATCATTAGGATAACAGCAGCGTGCTGACAGCCAACAAGCCTGTTCCTGCTTGCACTAAAGGCAGCTCCTGCTTCTTAAAAGGCTTCTCACGGGCAGGCAGCATGTCAGCACGTCCCAGCGCTCTCCCCCGACCCCTCCGGAAAGATATTATAATCATCCTTATCTGTCACAGCGTGCAGACGATGCTGAGCTGACTTGCATTGCCGGCAGCAAGAAGGGATGCTTTAACTGAGCCACGGCACAAACCCCATCTGCGGCATGTCAGGGCCTCCAGAGCCAGCCACGGCTCGCGGGGGGGAGGTCTGGACCCCAAGCACCCCACATCTGTGGGGGTCAGGCATCCTCGGATAACCGGGGGGGAGGTGGACCTTTCCTAGAGGCAAAGCATCCCAGGATGCCTCGGAGTGCATCACCGACCTCAGGTCAATTTGGGGTGAGAGGGGCTTGGCTCCTGCCCACAGAACCCCCCGGGACTGGCCCCGGTGCAGCCCCAGCTGAGTCCCACGGGAAAGGTTGGCCCTGGATCGGGTCTGTGACTTGCACCCCTTTCCCAAGACATTGCCAAAGCTGCGCCAGCCCAGAGCCCGTGGGTGGGTGGGGGGCAGCACCAGGACCCCCAACACCCCATGGAACACCCTGGCAGGGCTTATTCCCATCACAGCCCCAGCCTGGTCTCGGGGTTCAGCAGGAGCCCCAGGATGACTGGGAGGGGATGGGAACAAGCCGGGGCTGCAGGGAGCAGGTAGTGCAGCACCGGCAGAGGCAGGCAGTACTCTGCCTGACCAAGGGGATGTGGAGGCTGTAAGAAGCCAAAGGAGCTAGGAGGGGATTGCCGAGCTGGGTTACCTCCAGGGATGCCGGGACCTGGCTGGAGACGGTGTGCCTACGCTGCCAGCATCGCCTGGCATCTCTGCCCGACCTCCCTGAGCATCTCTGCCTGGCCCTGCCTGCGCCTGGCAGCCCACGGCAGCCTGCCGCTCACCGCACCCCAGCAAGCTTCCTCTTGAGTCATGGAAAATCTTCAACTCGGAGAGAGTTTTGGGGCAGGAAACTCCCAGAGGAGCAGAGCCCCGGCTCTGGGGTTGAGGACCGGAGCATCCCTCTGGACAACAGCCCAGGGTGGTGGCAGCAGGAGGGGACAGGAGCTCTCCCTAACCTCACCAAGCTGCCCAATAAGCCCAGTTTCCTCAACACCAGGCCCCAGCTGGGTGCTCTCCTTTCAGCAGAAATGCCACCGGGTCAATGGAAAACAGCTGCCATCGTTAGCATGCATGACCTGGATTTGGAGGAATTAATTAGGGCACAATCAATTAAAGCCTCTCCCTTCCCTAGTCCACCACTGCTTGTGCCCCACGTGCCCTTGCAGGGATATATGGTGTCCCTGGGTTGCCAGCAACTGGGAGAAGCAGGGACATGTCTGGATGAAACCTCCCCAATCCCATGGGGCCATCACGGTGCTTCGGGTGCTGCCGTAGCCTGCAGGGCACGTGGTGGCTTGGCTTGGCGTGGCATCGTATGGCGTGGCATCGTATGGCATGGCGTGGCATGGCATGGTGTGGTATGCATCGGCTCCTTTTCAGGAGCTGGTGGCATGGGCAGTCCCTGGCACAGCACATTTCCTGCCCCGGCACGGCAGTGCCGCTCACCTCGACCGGTGACCGCAGGCGGTGGTGAGGGTGGCGGTGCAGCCAGGGCAGAGCCGATGCAAGCCGGCAAGGAGGAGGAGGGAAGCAGCCACCGGCAAGGGGAGGCTATTTTTGGCAGCGGCTTGTGTTACGTGAGAGCGGCCACAGGTCTCCTTGTGGCAGCGAGGGTGGGATCCGACGCTCGTGGGAGCTTGGGCTGTTGGGTTTAGTGGCTGTCACCCATTTTCCCATTGCAATCCAGTGTGCTGGCTCCCAAAAGAGCTCACTGGCACCAGGGAGCTGCTGCCGGGGCTGGGATTCCCCCTGGTGAATGCTGCCAGCTCTGACCACCCAGAAACCTCCTGCACCCCTTGGCTCGTCGTGCCCCCCCCGGCTCTCCTTCGGGTGCCATCTCTGGGTGCCCTGGGCTCTCACTTAGCCATGCTGCCTTCCAGTCACCAGCAGCTTTTTGGGGACCCAAGGGAGAGCTGGGGTCCCCCTGAGCCCTGTACATTCACCGTCTCCCGGGCTCACACCCTCTGCAGAGATGGGGGGCTGATGGGGGGACCCCGGGATGGGTTGGGAGGGAGCCCCCCCCAGGTTTCTCTCCCCTTTGCTCTTGCTTTCATGCTCAGTGGGACCTGGGGAGGCAGCTGCCAGGTTAAGACTTCAAACGAGCATAGATGTGACGCAGAAAACCACAGAGGGAGGAAAAACAGCCTGTTCCTGCCCGTCCCCCCTTGCCTGCCTTCCCCGGGCTGGGTAGCAGAGGCGGCGGTGCCCCCGGCAGCCTCCCGCTCAGCCGCCAGCGCCGGGGCGGAGGAGGCAGCTGGCCGTGCTGATGGCAGCCCAGTTGCCCACCCTGCACCTGCTGGTCTTGCTGGGGATGTGGGGTGAGTACGGTGGAGGGCTCAGTGCCGCCAAGGGGTATGGGGTGTGGGGGCCATGGTCTCTTTACCGAGCGTACCCGCTGTGCCGGCAGCTCCGGTGGCAGGGATGCAGAAGGGGACCCAGCCTTGCCGCAGCCTGGGACCCCTGAAATCCCATGGCGAAACCCCCCAGCTTTCCCACTGTCAGGCAGCCAGGCGTATTTCGGGGGGGCTCAGCCCTGTGCCCTCAGCTGGGGCTCACTGATGCTCCCGTCTCGGCTCACTCATGGCACTGGGCCGGGGGTCCCACATGCCCGTCCTGGCCAAGCCCCGAGCACGGGGGCTCGGGCCGGGAAGGGGGAGAGGGGCTGGTGACCAGCAGCGGGACCGCCGAGCCCACACCGAAACGCGGGCAGCAAGGAGAGTACAGGCACACCTCAGCCAGAGCCACGTGTGTCCGGTCCCTCCCGGCTCTGTGGGTCCCCAGGATGCTCGTCACACGCCAGGAGTAAGCCTACGGGTGCTGGGGGGCAGGCAGCCGCCCCCCAATCCTCCTTCTCTGCCAGATCCTGCCATCCCGGCTGCCCCGTGGTCCACATGGCGCAGTGGGCAGCCACATGCACCGTGCTGCTCCGGCTCATTGCTGTCATGGTGGGACCATCCATTGCTGCTTGGCCGTACTCTTCCTACCAGTAGTGACGCTAGCTAGTTAGCGGTAATTAGCAGGTGCCCTTGTCTGTCTTTTTTCAGCCATAATTGTGTACCAGCAGATGGATGGGCAGCCTGGCAGGCAGTGCTATGGCCAGTTGCGTGAAGTCGTTTGTATTTATTTATTTTAATTAAAGGTGTGAGGAGGAGGAGCAAGAGCAAATTCACCGAGAAAGCCAGAAAATGGTCTTCTATTGCTAAGGAAAAAGCCAGCACAACCCAGCCTCCTCCTCCTCCGGCCCCAAGCACCAGGGAGGGGCATGCGGCCAGCCTGGGGCTTTGTTTCCATTGCTGAGCTTTGGGGACAGAGGTGTCCCCCAAACATTACAGCCGGGTCGGCGCAGAGTATGGCATGGCCAGGGAGCTCCTGGCCACCATCGCTGGCTCATTTCCACTGGCAGCATCTTTACCCTGACGAAAGGCTGACCTGAGCCCCCAGAATCACCTTTCTCCCCCAAAATAACCACCAAGAGGCCAAAAGCCGGGAGCCTCTGCCCTCGGCTGGGGGCTCCCACCTCCCCTGGGGCAAGGAGCAGGACTGACGCCCTGTCCCCCTCTCTCTTGCAGCCATCCCCAGCCATGGAGGAGCCACCCTGAGCGCTGGAGGTGAGAGCACACGGGGACAAAGCCTCGGGGACCGCGCCGCGGCTTCTTTAGCAGCTCCTCGGCCGTGGCTTTGTTAGCATGGCGGCTGCCAGAGCTGCCTTGGCCGGGAAGCTGGCTCTGCTGCATCACGGGCTCCATGCAGCCTAGTGTCCCAGCTCAACCCCACGGCACCCGCACATACCCCCGCAAGCCCCCCTGCCTGCCCGTGCGCCCCCCAACACTCCGTTTCCTTCCTGCCCCACTTTGCAAGAAGCCCCGGCTGCCGCCGCGGGGCACACCGGTGCCAAGCGGCCAGCCTGACTGCAGCGACGAGCCGACAAGGGCTTTTCCAGCCCCGGGTGGAAAACATGCTGCAAAGGGAAGGAAAGCCCCTAACGCCCGTGCTTTCTCTGCAGAGCCCAGCCTGCAGCTCATCGGCGGCGGCTGCCGCTGTGCCGGGATGCTGGAGGTGAAGTGGGATGGCAGGTGGAGCCGCGTGTGCCGGGACGGTGTGAGCGAGCCCAGCGTGGACGGCATTTGTCAGCGGCTGGGTTGTGGCCCCTCCATCACCAAACCCCTCCAGCTCGTCTTTACCAGCAGGAAGGAACCACCAAACACATGGCTGCTGAAGTGCACGTGGCCGGTGGCCACCCCGGCGACATGCCACTGGGTGCTGGGAAATTGCACGGAATATGTCATCGTCATCTGCAGTGGTGAGCCTGGACCCCCACCCTGGCCACCCCTGTCCCAGGGGACCAGCTGCCCTGACCTCACCTTTCTCTTCTTGTTTCAGAGCCGGTGAAAACCACCCCCAAGACCCCAACGTTACCGCCGGCCACCACCCCGGAGCCCACTGGTAAGAGCCCCATCCCTGCCCAGCCCTGGGCATGGCAGAGGGGAGTGGAACGGCAACGGCCAAACTGGGGGCACGCACAGCAAAGCAAACCGCCCCCCGCCTTGCGAGATCGCCTGATCTCATTAATAGTGTTTGCAGCAAGGTCAGGCCCATTAAGCTTCAGATGTGGTGGGCTCGAGGACTTTCTGCTCAAGAACAGAAAGAAATGTCGTCTTGGTCTGTAACGAGATGCTTTTTTTTCCCCCATCCCTCGTCAGGACCCGCCAGGCTGCGGCTGGTGGATGGGGACTTTGGCTGCTCGGGCTTTGTGGAGCTGCACAGGCAGGGGTTGTGGGGGGCCGTGGCGGAGAGCCCGGGCATCTGGCTGGAGCTGGCCACCCGCATCTGCCAGGAACTCCACTGCGGCACCTCCATCGACAGCCGTAGCTACGCCAAGCCGGAGCGAGGAAGCCACTTGCCGGTCCGGTGGGAGGTGGTGGAGTCCTGCAAGAGCCATTCACTCTTCGACTGCTTCAACAGGACCAGTGCCCGGCGGGGGGAAGAGCCTGCCTTCATCATCTGCTCCGGTAAGAGCTCGCCCCAGCGTGGTCCCTGCTCCTTCCCCGGACCCCTTGCTTGCCCCAGCCGACCGGCTGAGCAGCCCATGGCGTGCTCTGGGGCCGTGGGCTGCTTTCCCCCTTGCAGAGGTGTGAGAACCCCGGCAATATCGCTGGGCTGGATGCCTGGCTGCAGGCTGGCCGGGCAGCTGAAGCCCCGGGCAACGCAACAGCCCCATCCCCATCTGCCCCCCCCCACCCCATCCACCCACTCCTGCTCTTGCTCTCCTGCGTGCGAAGGCAAAACAGGAAATCTCCCTGGTGCGCTCGGTTCCTGGCAGCGGCACCCCCAGCCCTGGGCTTCGAACGCAGCGGCGTTGCAAGTAGGAAAACCCGGGGAGCGAGAGCAGCGGATAGCAAGCGCCATGTTAGCACCCCAAAACCCAACACGGGCGTGCGGGGTATAGCGGCAGAGCCTGGCACCCTGCTCGTCCGTACTTCTCCGGTGCTTGCCACGAGCATCTCCCTGCTGTGAACACCTCCCCTGCCACAAGCATCTCCCCGCGGAGCGGCTTGGTGCCGGTACCGCAGCACGGAGAGCCAAGCCACGGGGCGAGGAGCGGGCTTGCTTCGGGTCCTGCCATCTGCCCGAGCTTAAAAGCCCGCCTGTGGGATTTGGGGGTTTAACGGGCTGCACCGCGGCAGCTGGCAGAGCGGGCTTCCACCGCTGCGTTTCCCGGAGGGACAGCTCAAAGCTCCTCAACGCGTGGCCCCGGTACGGCTCGCACGTATCCCCCCGGTCCCAGTGGCACAAGGGGAAGCCGAGATGCCGTGAGCATCCCTGTGCCAAGAGCCGGTCCCGGCGGAAGGAGGACTGCGCGCCGGCAGGATGCCGAGCCCCATGGAGGCAGCCGTGATGTCTCCCCGTGGGTCTGACCCCCTCTCTGCCTCTCTCCCCCAGGCTCCCAGCCCCAGGCCCTGCGGAGGCTGGCGGCTGGCCCCACGCCGTGCGAAGGGGACGTCGAGGTCTTTCACGAGGGGCAGTGGCATGTGCTGTGTGACAATTCAGTGCAACGAGCCGAGTGGGGCAGGCAGCTGTGTCGGGAGCTGCGGTGCGGGAACCTCTCCTCCAGTACCGAAATCCGGGACCCCCCTTCGATGGGTGTCACCTGTAAGGGTCACAACCTGCACCTCTGCCGCACCAGTCTCGGGGCTCTCCAGACCTGCTCCAGGACCAGAGTTGTGTGTAAGCCCCCGAACCGGGCTTGATCCCCGGGGGCACCGTGGGGATACGGGCAGTGCTGCCTGCAGCACCCGGTGCCGGGCATCCCTGGCTGAAAATCCTGCTCCTGCTGGGAGCTGGAATTTCCACGTGTGAATGCCTCGGGAATGGGGGGAGGATGTGAGCTCGGGGCAGGGGATGGGGAAAAACTTGCCGGGGCTCCCTGCAGCCCTCCTGGCAGGGTGGTGGGTGCTCAAGCTCCCAGCATCAGCCTTTGCCTGGGCACGAGGGTCTCGTCCGGTGACACCCATCCTCTCCCCAGGCCAGGACTCAAAGCCGCAGCCCGCCGGCACGGCAGCAGGCACCATCGTGAGCATCTGCCTGGCCCTGCTTCTCTTCGGCATCCTCCTCCTCATCTGCGGCCCTCCTGCCTACAGGAGGCTGATGAAGAGAAGTAGGTGACAAGCTCTGGAGCTTCTCCTCCTCCTCCTGCTCCGCAATCACCACGTGGCAGCTCCATGCATCCATCCCTGCTGCTTCCCCCCCATCCCCTTTTGGGGGGGGACGGGGGTTGGGAGATGCACATGCTGCTCAGCCTGACAGATCCCCCCTGCCCCACGCGGTGTGGGCACGGGGAGGGGGGTGGCCGGGGGAATGGGGTGCGTTTTGCAGGGATTAGGTGGCGAGTGGACACAAAAGAGCAGGCGGAGGGTCTCGCGGGGGGATTACTGGGCAGGGGAGATTATTTGGGATGGCATATGGGGCTGGCGGGGGGGAGGCAGCCGGAGGAAGCGAAGCTTGGGGCAGGGGCATTAGCAGGTCCTGGGAGAGATCCCCCTCTCACCGCTCGCCTCTGCCTTCCAGTCTCCAAAAAGAAGCAGCGCCAGTGGATCGGCCCCACGGGACTCAACCAGACGGGTGAGGAGCAGCGAGCTGGTGCCCCCCCCCCCCCCCCCCCCCACTACCATGGGGCTGGGGCTGCTCGCCCCCGGACCGCAAGAAGCACCGTGGGGCGGAGGTGTGAGCGGGCTCGCGCCCAGCCCCGGCTCTCGCTTCCTGCCACCACGTTGACTCATGGGCACGATATTAACTCAGCCAGGAGAGCCGAGCCCCGGCTCGCAGCGCGGGAGCAGGTCCCGCTTTTAATCAGCCCCCTTCCCCTCCCAGGCAGCGGGGTGGTGCGTCACCTCGAACCTGCTGCTGCAGCCCCAAATCCTCGCCCCCCCACCCCCCAATCCTGACCCTTCTCCCACAATTTCTTCCAGTCTCCTTCCACCGCAACAGCACCGTCACCCTGAGGCCGCGGGCAGAGGGGCAGCGGGTGCAGGGGGGGGACAACGACTACGCTCAGCCCCCCCAAAAGAGCTCCTACCTCTCGGCTTACCCAGGTAAGCGCAGGAGGATGCCGGGAATGGCTCGTCCGTGCTCCCTTCCCACGCGCGCCGGCGGGGATGAACCGCCCGGGGAAGAGCGTCACGGCAAAACTTTTGCCGACACCAGGGGAGGTGGCTGTGCCGGGGCTGGGGTGCACCCCCAGCCGCCATAATGAGACACATCCATTCCCCCGCAGCCCTGGAAGGCATGTGCAGAGCTTCCAACCCTCCGGACAACTCCTCCGACAGCGACTACGACCTGCATTCTGCCCGCAGAGTGTGATGCCCCTCGCCGGAGCTGGCACCCCCTCGGGCTGCCCTGATCCCCAACCGAGCCACCCCCCCTGCTCCTGCCCACCACCCGGTGCTGTCCCAGGGTGGTCATGCACACGGCAGCAAAGCTGTGCAACTGCTGATGTAGCAGCTTTTCTTGCATTTTCTGCAAGCGACCTCGTTTCCTTCGTCAACCGCTTTCCCGCCCTGCAGGCAGAGGTGGGATGCAGCACAAGAAAGGTAAATTTCGAGCAACCCGATCTAGCGAAAGATGTCCCTGCCCATGGCGGGGGGTTGAACAAGATGATCTTTGAAGGTCCTTTCCAACCCAAACCCTTCTGCGATTCTCTGCGATGATGAACTGAACGAAGCTGACGGAAGAGATGACAAATACCTGTGCTGCTCACCTTGGAAGAAAGCCTGCCTGCTTCCCCTTCCCATAAGCATGATGGGAGACCTCCGGGGCCAGACTCTCCAACCCTTGCCAGACTCGGAGCCAAACCCACCCGTGCTCCTCCGTACCCGCTCATACCGGGCACCAGGCATGCACGGCTCAGCTCTAATCCAGCCTAGCTCAGCTTCGGCTGCGCCCCGGTACCCAAGCACCTTTCCGAGAAAGCTTCTTCTTGCTTTTGAGACTCCCTTGTGGGAGAGTGCAAGGTGGAGGAGGTTTTTAAAGCTATTTGCATGAGTCTAAGAGGCAGCCTGGTTGCAGCAGGCTTCATACCTGCACTGAGAGCTGAGCAGCCACGCTCATGGCCGGTTAGAGGGGGTTTGCAGACTTCTTCGTCTCTCAAAACCAGGATAACCACACTCCTCCTCCCACCTGGGCCAGGCTGAAAGCGAAATTGGCTGCTGTCTGTCAGGCGCTCTGATACCGGGGTGCTGAGCTTCACAAGAAAGACTGCGAGACCCGCGTCTGCCGGGTTCCCAGGAAAGCTGCAAAGACACGCGCTTGGCTGTGTTTGTGTGGGATGGCGTGAGATTTGGGCAGATGTATAAAGCAAAGCATGGATGTGAGGAGCATAGGGAAGGCAGAAATACCGAGAACAAGTCAGAGATATTTAATAAGCAATAACCGTTGTAATAAAATTGGTTTTTCTAGTAATTACATCTTGTTCTCTTCTTTCCAACGCTACCAGTACTGTTCTGTAGACCATCTACTTGCCAGGTGGGGAGGGAAAACACAAGACAGTGCCAAAGGAGGGGAGAGACGGGCTGATGCAGAAGAGCCCCATGCAAATGGGCCCCTTAGGAAAGATGAAAACAAGCAAGCAGGAAAGAGGAGTTTGAAGAAGATGGTCCTGCAAGAGGGTGAAAGGTTTTATTGACAAAATCAAGAGGAAGTTGGTGTAAGGATGCCAGGAGGGCATAAAATGATCAATAGAAAGTGTCAGCTGGATGCCCCATCATTTCCGAAAGCAATCACTGCCGTGACCCCGCATGCAATTCATCAAGTTTTATTACTGTAATTAACCACAGATATGGAATTGTTTCCATCAAACCCCAGAAGCATTTGCCTTGTTCTAGTCCATTAGTAATCTTTCCTTATAAATAACTTACAGGGATACAGGCAGGATTCGTAGGATAAAGTGCTGAGCAAAGCAAATCCCATTTCCATTAATGTTAACTCATTGCTCCATCCATTACCTAGTGTTTTGTGAGAAGGGGGATGTGAGGAAGGCTGGAGACTGTAGCACCCCGAATAATTGCCCCGTTTCCCTGGGCACCGCAGGAGAGGCCGGGGATACAGGAGGAGGCTGCTGAGCCCCAGCGTTTCACAAAGCTGGGCAGGAGGCACTGACTCCCGCTCCTCCCTGTGACCTGAGGCACGTGCCCCCAAAGCAGCAGCAGCCTGAGACATCGTGCCGGCCCAGTTTACTTCAAAAGCACAGATAATATCCATGCATTGAACTCTGGGGAGCTACCAGAGCCTTCGTGCCCTTGGCGAGACAGCGCACAGCCGGCCCAGCCTGGGAAAGGCTCCCGTGCCGGACAAAAGCAGCAGCGGTAAAGACAGCCACGGATCTCAAGGCCTGGCCCACCCAAGGGGTGAGCTAGCTGCTTCTCCTGCTACAAGCAGTTACAAATCGCCTGCAAGCCGGGCAGGCTCTGCCTCCCGCTTCCAGGAAGGTCCTTGGAAAGCAGTGAGTATTTTGTGTATACTGTCAGAGATTCCCACTGTGTCTTTTGAACACCTGTGAAAAGGCTTAGAATTATGATACTATATCTGTTACCCACATAGCAAAGGACAGGCACACACGGAGCGGTCTCTCTCGCTCACCCACGCACACTCCCGCGCACACAGACAAGGGGGTTCGGCTCTCAGCGGCTGCAATCAGTGCACATCGTTCCCACATACCCCAGCCGAGTACCCAGATGACTACCTGGCTTTCACACCGGAGCCTGGACGAGCCGATTTGGAAGCGAACACTTCAGCGCACCAGCGATCGTCACAAACCCAACTTAAAGAGCTGCAGCTCGCGGGGACAGTGTCAGCCCGCCTGACGCCCGGAGCCACTACTGTCTCTTACCCTGCGTAATGCTTTTGCACCTATGGGTTGAAGAGCAACGTTCTCGGTTTGCTCTTCTTCCTCAGTCCACAAAAAGAGGAGGGAGCAGCAAAGGACGCTCTCCCAGGAGTCCTGATTTAGTAGCCAGGCCAAGCAGGGCGCTGAGGGTTTGGAGGTGGGGGGTACCCAAAGGGCGGGGGCAGTCCAGGAGGATAGGGAGGCTGTGCGGGGATTGGGAAACTAGGGAGAAGGGGCTGGGTCGGGTAGGGACACTGCGGTCTCCCTGCCCCAGGGGGAAAGTAGGCAGGGTACCTGGGTCTGGGTGGCGGAGGAGAGGGGTGAGAGCCAGGAAATGGTGGGGGCTGAGGTGGGCCCCTGGACGGAGACCAGGAATAGCCCGGAGCTGGAGAGGAGCCTCCCGAAGGAGGGCTGGGATACCCCGGCACGGAGTCAGCAGCCTGCGCCGGCGGGTATCCCGGACCTGAAGGAGGCTTATAGGGAAACGCGGGCTGGGTGCTCGGCTGAGAGGAAGCAACGTGTCCCACGGTGACCGGGGAGCCAGAGAAAGGAGCAGGAGGGAGATCTCCATGGACTGTGGGGCCGACCGGCATGCTTGGGGTTGGGCTGTAGGGCAAAGGGAAAGAAGGAGCCCCTGAAGGGAAAGGCTGTGGCTTCGGCGGGTCTGTGGGCCCAGGTATGTGAGGAGGCAGTGGTGGCTGCTGAGAGTCCCTGCCGGGCTCCTGCGACGCTTCTGACTTCCTCAGTATCTCCTGCAGCTTTTCAACTCTGACCCGGCGCAAGTGGGACAACTTCCTCATCATGGAAAACTGCTCAAGAAATGTCTCCAGGGGCACCTCACCCTCCAAGAACTTCTCGGCCATTTTCTGGAAGAGAACACAGCCTCAGGTTCAGCACTGCATCCCTCTACTCCTCTTCTCCAAGCCCAGCTTAGGATTTATGTCTCTCTCAGAGACACATAGAGGACCATCGCACCACACACAAGCAAACAAAGGGCAATCCAATTTTTCGGAGCAAGAACGCCAAACTCCAAAGAGATAATCCTTGATTTAAGGGATTAGGTTTGGGAGTGTAATTACAAGTCTTTGAGGACTAATCACTTGAATTGCTAATGGATTTAAACCTTAAGCTCACCTCAGACTCCTCCTCAATTTTCTGGCTTTCCACCTGCAGGAGATCCAGCAAGGTCTGAGGATGCATTGCTGCTGAAAATTTCTCTGGGGAAACAGAGAGCAGCAGAGCAAAACATTAAACACAAAACAGTGAAAAATCATTAGCAAACAGCCCTGTCGCACTCTCACAGGAATGCCTTCCTGCCTTGAAAACTGTTGATGGAAGGAGCAAATCTGAAGAGGAAAGAACCTTAGCCATTGCTGCGCTAGAAGGGTTTTTTTTCTGGGATAGCATCCTTGATCTGTCCAACTGAGTTTGACCAGGAAACAGGAGAATATAGATTTTATAGGCAGCAGAGTCCTTTCTGCCACCACCCTCAAGAGTTCCTCTGCTCAACATGGCCAAGGGAAGCAGAAGCAAAAGGGAAGGATGTTGCACTAACTACAGCCCACGTGACTCCATCGGAAAGCATGCAAGGTTTGCAAATGCTCACCCAGTTTTGCCTTTTGCTCTTTACACCGCTCAGCCAGCTTCTGCAGCTCTTCATATTTGTTAAAGAGGTCGGTGCGCCCCGTCTCCAGCGGCGCCTGGAATTTCAGGTTCTGCTCGGCCAAGCTCCGGTTGGCAGCAAGGGCCATCTCCCTTTCCAGCTGCAGCTCCTGAACCTGCGGAAGGAGACGTGACAGTCAGCACAGGCGAAATGCTAAAAAAGCCTAGCCTGTGTCACACCATCCCCACGCACCTCCTGGGACTCCAGGGCCAGGCGCTCGATCTCCTCTGCATTTTCCTGCAGCTCCTGGAGTTCCTCCACCGTCCGGTTCCTCAGGGTGTCCATCCTCCCAGAGGAGCTGCAGACTCCTAGGAGGGGGAAAGGAAGTCAAATAAAGATGAGGTTTTCTAAAGCCAGCTCCAAATAGGTACTAATCCGATTAGTGATTTAAAACCAGCTTTGCTAAACTGCTTGAAACGGCTACACCAGAGAAGTTCCCCTGTGCTATAAAGAATCAGCGAGACTGAGGGCAGAGTGAGAAGGAAAACAGATCTACTTGTTCCTGCTTTGGCAACTGACTTTTTTCCTTTTCACAGCGTATTTGGAAGGATTACTTGTGTGTGCCAGACGGTTTTGTCAAGGAAACACCTACTCACAGCCACTCGATAGCAGGGCGACGTCACCCTGACTCTCAAAACTCCAGCTGGCTTCTCACTGCGTCGTCCCATTCCAGCTTCCCGTTCTGCTGAGCAAACCTCCCCCATCTGCTCGCATCCAACCACCCACAGCCCACACTCACTGGTGGGACCACCATCGCCACCCTTGTCTTCCCGTACCTCACCACCTCTCCAGTTCCTTGGCTCCCATCTCATTTGATGTGTTTTCTTTCCATGTTTTCCTTTCTAGCTACATGGTGCCATCACTTCCCTCACTTACTGCTGTTACCCTTAGAAAACACGAAGTGATGGCATTATTCGTTTGAGGTGAACTCAATCCAATACTTGTGATTTTAAGAATATTACTAAAATCAGAGAAATAATGGATTTTCTGCACTACGTCCATGACTTATTCCACATAATCCAGGCTGTCTGATATTTAACAAATATCAGACGTTCATGTCACAGGTTTTAAGATGTGGGGTGCAATAATGCAGGAGTACGCTAAAAACAGGTGAGAAACACGGGAGCAGTGCACTCCCACTGAGAGGGAAAGGGACATACCAAACAGATGGGGATTTCGGCAGCGTCCTAATTGCTTGTGGCTCTTCTACCTTTCACCCGGGTGAAACATCCCAACGATCTCGCTCTGGGAGCGTTGCGTCAGCCTCTGCACGTAACACAGAATGACGAGGTAAGGCTCAGGGTTACCAAATCTCTTTGCCCAGGATCCAGCCAAACCTGTCCGAGTAACAACCACCTAAAAGCCGGGAAACTACCTCCCTTACTACCTACGTACGTAACTTCATCACTCTGCAAACAGAAATAAACTTTTGTTTGGGGTTTTTTTGTTATTAATGAGGCTCACAGAGTGTAAGAGGGAAAAATTAGAATTAGTGGCAAACAAGAAGCTCAGTCCCTGCCACCGTGCAGGCGTGGAGGTCACTGATGGTCTGGGGGAAGCTTCCGAACAGCCCCTGGTGAGGGTGGGCGCAAACAGCTGGCACTACCTCGGCTCTGGCTGGGCGCCAGCACTGGGCAGGGGCTCTCACCTCCCGGATCTCACCATTTTTTAGCAGCATTCCGGTAAGACGCAGCCAGTGAGGTGACACTTGGCCTCTCTGAGAGGAACCACACGGGTCCCCGTGGCTCAGAAAGGCTGGGGCACCGGTGAGGGGCTGCCCGCCGGACTGCTACACCCTGGACACCCCCTCGGTGCTCCGTCCCCGGTTAGGGAAATCCTCCCCCAGCCCTGGGGGTGCCCATCCAAGGCCTATCCGTCCCAGCACCCTGGGGGAGCCGCGGAGCGAGGCCAGCCCGGGCCCGCTCTCCAACCGGGACACTGCGGAGACCGCTCCGCAAACACCGGGCCCGTCCTGGGCGGTGAGGGGAACGGCAACCAGGAGGCTGCGGCCCACGGAGACGGCGGAACGGGGTTTCCCCCGCGGCTCCCGGTACGAGGCCCGGCCGAGCCGCCCCCCCCCCCCGCCCGGCGGGTAACGGCTGTCAATCGCCCAACGGAGAGGCCGTGAATGCCGGGGGCAGCGGCAGGGCGGGCAGAACCCGCCTCCCCTCAACGAGACACGAGCGTTCGGCCCCGTTACCGGCTCCGCCGCCCCCACCCCGCACTCACCACCGCGCAACCGGGACCCTCCCTCCGCCCAGCGCTTCCGGCTTCCGGCGCGGGAGCGGAAGTGGGCGGTGCCACCGACAGGCTGGGGCGGGGGCGACGGCCACGACGACGACGGGGGAGAGGTTGCCCTTCCCGGAGGGGAGGAGGAGGCGAGTGGTACATCCCGCCGCCGCCATGTTGCGGTGGAGAGGCTGGCGGGCAGTTGGGGTCTAGGCCTCTGTGTCAGGGCTACCGTGCTGCTGCAGAGAGGCTGTATTTTATACATACTACGTCTGTTTTTAATAAATATTATGTCTTTGCCTGCCGGTGTAGCTCTCCTCGAGCTGTGGCCTGCTCGAGCCTTCATGTCCTACCTGTTTGTGCCATGCTGGGCCTGCCCTGACACTCTGGTACTTTCCCCCAGCTGCCTCCCTTGTAATTGACTTTAATTGAATTTTTCTTTTATGCCTTCCTGGAAGAATTGCCAGTCTGCTAAATTATTTTGTGTGATTATTGATGCGTCCTGACTCCCGTCTTCAACACCATAGCAATTAACCTGGGTATGGCCGGCAGCATTGCCCGACTCCAGTGTGAGCTTGAGCACTGCAAGCAATAGATTTGTCAGCTTCACCTGTCAGCCCCAGGGACGGTAAAGTAGGGGCTGCTGCTCCCGGCGAGCATGTGTCCCCCAGTCACCCTGCCTGCCATCAGGGCTGTGGAGGTTTGGAGCGGTGAGGGCAGCTCTGTGGTTCTTCCGTACATTGATTCAAAGTCTCCACGTGAGCCCTGAGCAGCAGCTGCTGCGTGGACACTTTTGTCTTCGCTGGCTCGTTCAGAAAAGCAGAAAGCTATAGAGCCACAGACAAAGATTAGGCGAGATTAATCATTATGACAAGAGTTAAAAGGAGAGCATTACAACAAAGCTTAGCATTGCGCACAGAGCAGGCAGCTGGTTGAAATTCAGGCGTAGCGGGTTTGGGTTGGATTTATGGTGGGATTTGAAGCAGTTTCTGCCTTGTCACGACCTCATCAGCGCCTTGCAGCCGGGGCCTCCCACGCAGGCAGCCTCCTCCTGCAGTTTGTGTTTTGCGGAGATCTAACAGCAAGGAGAACCGCTGCAAAGCCATGTTGTTCTCCACGGGTCGTCTCGTGCTGAGTAGCAGCTGGTGCTACAGGCACTCAAACGCCTGTTCTTTCGGGTGACTTGGAATTCTGTTGGCTGTAATCCTGGTAATCCTCCAGCCCTGTGAGAAATGAAAATTAAATTAAAACTTCCTTGACAGGTAAAGGGATGGAGGCAAAGTGAGCGTGGAGAGGTAAGTGGCAGTAAAGGTGTGGCAGAGCTGGAGATGGGGGCTAAAAGTTGATGGAAGTGCAAGAGAAGAGAGGACAGAGAAGCAAAGGAGGTGAGACAGAGGATATGGAGTGCCGAGCCATGGGCTGTGATACCGCAGCGTAGCGGCAGTACGTACAGACCTCAGCAATGTGCAAAAAATTCATATAAAGGCATTTTTTCCAGGTGGCATAGCTGGAACCAAGAGATAAAAGCAAATAGCTCTTGAATACCTGCGTTAGCTCTTCCTTGCATGAAACAGGAAAGTTCCTGAGCAGCATGAGACAGAGGAAGCTCTGATCCTGCCACCCTCTACACAAAGCCAGCCTCCACTTTTCCACCCGTACTTCCGCATTCCCGCAGAGGTGAGCAGGGCTAAGGATTGTGTTAGGATGGGGGAAAGCTCCGCGTTGCCGGATAAGACATGCTGGAGGTGCTGAGGGGAGGGGAACGTGAAGGAGACTGCAGGCGTCTGGGCAAGGTCACCCACCTGTTACAGAAGTGCTGATGTCCAGGCACATGTCTGAGGAAAGGCACCTCTTGTCCTCGCCGGAGACATACACCACATGAGGCCTGTTGACTGTTGTATAATAAATATGAGTCATATGAATCCTAATAGGTACCCTATGGTTTAATCAAGGACAATTTGTTTGTAGCATGGCTGATAACCAGGTCAAAACCCAATGTTCTTGCAAGAAAGGGGACTTGACTTTCCAAAGGGAGATCAATATTTTCAAGGCTTGTTTGAGAAGCAGTCTCCACAGATGTGGAAGGGCTGGAGCACATTTAGTTCACAATTTATATTAAACTGTAAGAACTGAGTAGAGGATAGGCTTAAGTTGTGTTCAGATTTGTTCTTTGCAATGAAGGAAGTATCCAGTTAAATAATAAAGTGTTACCCAGCAATCAAGAATGTGATAAGTGGGTATTTTCTGGTTAACGCTGAAAGATGTGCCCATTATCTGTTTACTAGCATCCTTAATTTGTATAAGAGATGGTTTCAGCTGGTCATTATAATACATCACACAGTTACTTTATCAGGTGAAAGACTCAGAGGCACGAAGGCCAATACCCAATACGCACCATGAACGAAAATGACTGAAAATGGGTAAGCATTCAAATTACACCAAGTACCAAATTTCAAGTGTGCGCACCAGCTGAGCTGTTCTGGATCAACAGAGTGCTTGTGGCTTAGGACAAAGCTGGCAGAAAGGAGTAAAACATTTTCGGTAAGGAGCATTCAGCTACAGAGCCAGCTTCTGAAGCAGCTTAGGTCAGTTTGAAGTCCTACTACCCTGAGGAAATGAAGCTGTAATCCAGAAAGTGTTTTGGAGTGAAATGGAAACTTTCCGGAGTCTCCTGCTATCGATGCAGGAGCTCGTTAGAGCAGCTGATGTCGTTTGCAGCTCCTTGGGCTCCAAAGTAGAAGGTGGCAGTGTCAGACTAGAGAACAAATGAACACAGAGTCAGTGAAAGGTTAAAAAAACCAAACAACCCTCATGCGCAAAGCTGATTTCAGCAATCCTGATTGTTTGTCAGATTTCACCTTTTGTTTATTATCTGGCCAAGTTCATTTGTGGTTTTGGTTGAATGTTCCTTCTGAGCCCAGGAGTCAAATGAAATTTGGCGCATTTCCCAAGAGAAGGAAAAAAAATTGATAGTGCTGTTCTTTTTTCTTTTAATGTGATGCTGTTTGTTTTCAAGACAATGTTATCTGTGTTCCTCAACAGGGAAGGATTTAGACGACAGAAGAGCCTTTCTCAGAATCCCACCCATCTTTTAATCGGGAGTTTATCAGAAAGCACCATTTCTCACAGCTTTTCTCAGCACCACCCCACAGACGTACCCCTGGCCATCTGTCGGCTCACAGCCGCTCGCCTCTCACACGAGCGAGCCGCAGTCAAACCAGTTCCCTTTCTGCACTTGCCCTTGTACAACTAGGAAGCTTTGTGGTCCATGTGGTCCAGCCACTATCTAGGCAGCCCAGTCAGAGAATAACTTTCACTGATTTAGTAACCACAGACCGAGGCTGCCGAAGGTGTTGGTCACCATCCAGGATCACCCACAGCAGGTGGAAAGAGCTGGCCTGACCACCCAGAGGTCCTACCCCAGCAAAAGTCCACCCACCACCAGCTCAGCAAGGATCAGCCTACATCTCTGGGGGCTTCCTTGACAACTTCAGCAAATATTCTTGCATCAAAGGGGTTTGACACCTCAGGAGCCTCAAACCGGACCTCTCTTCTCTCTGCCTTTGTGCCTTTCATCTGACGGTTCTAATAAAGCAACCGTATGATGTATGATAACGCCTTTATGGGAGGGACAGGAAAGGCCAGGAACAGGGACTGGAAAACAAGTTTGCTTCCTTAATCTGCAGTTACTAAGATAAGCTATATCTCAATAAGGTGATTTTTTTTTCAGGCTGAGCTTTTCAAGCCTGCACAGATAAAGTTAAGGCGGTTCCTGAGCTTAGTCAGCAAAGCCCTTTGCCATATAGAAAGTCTGAAAATTCATATACGGTCCTGTTTGGCCCAGGGGGTGCGCCCTATGACAGTTAAATGCATCCTAAGTGTTGTTGCCTAATCTCATACAGTTCCCACTAAGACTTTCAGGCACCTGGCCATCAGGATAGATCGTATAATTTGCAACAGTCTCCCAGCCTAGCGGCCATTGCATTCCTGACAGGGATCCACACACAGGGATTGATTTGTTTGCCCGCTCAGAGCCATCTGAGTGCCATCTTAGAGCCAAGGCAGCTTTTGGAGGTGCCGGTCTCCTGTTGTTTATGACCTAGATTGCTCAGGGTATCATATGAATTACCTCCAGCACATCTCATGTTGCCTTTAGAGGGACTGTCTCTTCGCACATGAATTGCTGCCAATCACTGGAAGCAGCAAAGGATAAAACA